CCTTCGTCCAGTTTTTGTCCCAATTGAGTTTTTCTGGCAAGGTTTTAAACGAGGTAGTAACGAAAAGAATACGAGGAAGGAAGCTTCAGCGGTAGAAATAAGTCCTTTAAAGAGACAAGGCATGCGAGCTAAAAACCACTACGGAGCTGTTAGATAGTCTTTTGCTCGATAGCAAAGTTCCTACCGGGAAGTAAAGTTTGCTGTCGAGCAAGGATTACCCGACCATTCGCAAGTGCAAGCCACTGGGGGATTTTTAGATAATCGTTGGCTCGATAGCATAAATTCCTAAGGGGAAGTGAAGTTTGCTATCGAACTGAATTATCTAGCAATTCACTAGTGGAATCCTCAAAGGTGCAAAACTTCCAGTGTTCAAATTCACATTCTTTGTATTTAAAAACTGGCGGGGATTGATATGAGGATACGGAAACAATGACTGCCACATCGACCGGAATACAAAACCCAAAAATAAATTTGTATCATCGGGACCGTAAACTGGGCGACCAGCCCCGTAGAAACAAGTTGTACAATTTAGCCACAAGAAATGGCAATCTCTTTTTAGCACAACGAATGCTTATGTACTTTTGAAATGGAAGGAATAAAGTAAAGTCCTTTTATTTTTATCTTGTTTCCTGTCTGAACGATGAATTAATTTTATCATTGAAAGTTAAACACATACTTCAAATGCTAGTGTCCTAATGAACAAGAGACGTCCTCTTCAAGAGCACCGTAAACATAAGAGGGCCTTCTCATATGAAATCCTCACGTCAAAGGGTTGATTTCGGAAGAACCTATTCCCGGAATCCAAATAATACCGGGGGAAAATACACCCTAATCCTCGCATATCTCGGCGTAGAAAACTTCTGAGAATACTTAAACAAAAAGGACGCAAAAGGGAAAACTTGCGCAATACTTAAACGAAAATACGCAAAGAGAAAAACCTGCACGATACTTAAATGAAAAGCTGCTTCTATTCACAATAAACGTGCCAAACAACACAAGTACAAAAAGTATGAGAAAGAAAAGAAAGTAAAAACTAAGCTACTACATCTCCGGAACCCGGAGGAAGAGAAGTATCTGCGCCCCCAGGAGAAGTGGGTGGATCCATCGTCGGCTCAATATCTTGGCCTCTAATTCTGGCCTTCAACATCATCACCTTCCGCTTCTTCTTCAGTTCCCGAGAACTCGGAACCGGAACCAGAAGAGTCGGTAGCATCGGGTCGTGCTGGAAGACCCCTTTTGGCAGTTGACTCCACCTCATGGGCCTTAGCGATTTCGGCATCAAAATCAATGACACCCGCTTTGGCCTCTTCCAAGGTTTTTCTCCTCATGCTATACATAGCATATGTTTTTTCGACAACGAGGGAAGCCACTCGGTGCTGGAGTTCTTCTTGTAGTTGGTCAACATCGGTAGAAAGGTTATCCGTGAAGATCTGATGGCCTAGAGGCTGACATCAAGGTCGCGGACAGTGGAGCTGAAAACTCTATTGTGCTCGATGGTCCTCTTGTGCTTCCTCTCCAACCAGGCATACTTCGCCTCATCAACAGTAACTTCTTCAGTTTTGGAGTTTAAGGCTGCCTCCAAATTATTCAATCTTTCAGCGGAGGCAGCCTCGCGATCAGATGCAACAAGAACGACATTATGGACTTCAACCCATTTGGCCCTAGTTTCTTCAAATTGTGCCCTTAACGGAGCAACCACCTGCTAAGGGTCACTACTTTTTGCTCACTTAGCTGCAATTGAGCCCCCAACTCAACGGCCTCTACAACTCGTACTTCTACTTCTAAGAGGAGAGCAGCATTCTGATCTCGCTTGGCCAAAAGTTGATCTCGCTCGGAGGTAAGTTCCTCCTTATCACGAATCATCCTCTAAAGGCCCTCGGAAGCAAGGAAGTTGGCTTGCAAAACAAAAATGCAAACTCAAAACCGTGCCATAACAAAGATAGAAGAAACGACATAGAAAACAAAGGCTATACAACCTCTGCGTTGTGCATGGTATTATTCAACAAATACTCTCCCGAGAGAGTTTGTATTTTATCTCTATCTTTTTTTGAAGCCAAACGCTTCTGATAATTAGCAAGTTCAACCGGTCGGGATAACAAATGGCATCAGGTGTGACAGAGACCGATAGGGTGACACTCCTCCTTCTTTGGGGATCTTTGGAGGGGACATCATAATTTTGCCCCAAATTCCCATGAACTGGGGACTAGAAAGAGGGACATCCTCCTCTCGGGCAACTACGACCGGTGGAGATGATGTTGCAGTTGTTGGTGGCGAAGGTAGGTTTGGTGAATAAGGAGATAAAACTGATGAAGTTGTAGGTTGAGAAGCAGCTGCGATAAACGCAGTGCTAGTTGTTGGTTGCTCGTCAACCGAAGATGGACGGGACCCAATACTCAGTCTCAGAGTACCGGCCATGACAGCTGGGACTCGAAAGCGGGATTTATCATTTTCCACCATATCATACCCCCAGAGCGTCGAGGCATCGTCCTCGGTTGGTGTAACTAACTCAACAGGTTGAGCATTATGTTGAGCTGATAAAGGTCGTCGTCTTCTATGTAGAGAATCCGCCTCATAACTGGCTCATCCATCATCGTCGATCACCACGATTTCTTTGATCGGCTCGAGCGCGGCGCTCATCACTACAATAACTGAGGATGGCTCGAGTGTTGCATTCTTTGCTTTTTTATTTTTTCCCCCGGCCGCGGAGTGAGCTTCGTCTTTTTTGTTGCTTGTTCTCCGGCCAGGGACTCCGAGAAGAAGCACTTGCACTAGAAGCAGGCCCGGAGATACCTACTCGGGTAAAAGCCTCCTACAGCAGCCTCACTGCGTCACCGGGATTAGCCAAAACGTCCTCCTCGGGGGCGACAAATGAGCCATGGGGGTAGACCTAAATTCAACAGGAGAGAAAGGTTAATAAACTTCCTTATACAAAAGGTAAAAACAAGATGAGCCCAACTTACCATGGTTTTTGGTCTTTTACCCATATTTAAGGTCTAATTCTTTCCACGTGCGGGTATCAGGCATAGTAACAATCAAAATCTTTTGGTCCTACTGGTCCAAGCCTTCAACCCCTGGTGGAGTCCACTGAATTGCTGAAATAAGTAAAAGGGATCAGTAACAGCATGGGGTGATCTTTAACTAGAAGAAAATGCAAACGACGAACTTACGAGTACTGTTCCACAGTTCCGGAAAGGATGAAGCCGTGACCAGAATGATGTCCCTAGTGGCAACTACAACGAACCGTTCCATCCACCCACGGTCGTTGTCATCATCCATACTGGTTAGCAGAGTGTGGTGACCACGTTTGTTCAAGTTTATCATTCCCCCACTGAAAATCTTGGGGGGATATGGGTTCATTAATCGAGCCAAAGGTTAGCTTCTCACCTTATCCTGACATAGACGCCGAAGACAAGCAACTGTCCTCCACACAAAAGGACTCACTTGTGCCAAACATACCTGGTAACAAATGCAAAACTCCACGATAACAGTGTTAAGCTCCCCGTTCAAAGAGAATGGTCCCAAAGTGAAGGGATACGCATAAAGATACGTGAAACCCTTCTTGGGAAAGGTTATCCGCTCCGTCAGGTCAGGAACAATGATGTTCAAATCATGGCAATGGCAGTCTTCCTTCACAGCGAGAATGCTGGAAGGATGGATAGAAGAAGGATACACGCCAATAGCCCATGTGCGAGAGTTAGCGGAAGGATACTTCTTTTCGAAGTCTTTAGTTGTGACAAGACTTCTTGGGAAAATGGTGCTCACCGTAGGAGGAGCAACATCATCTTTGCCTTTGTTCTTTGAGGAACTAGAGTTTCTGGAAGAAGATGTCATTGTTATCAGAAGAGAGAAAGTGGTTTTCTGAAGAAGAAGATTAAAGAAAGTTGAAGACAAGTTCGAGTGGAGTAAAGAGAGTTTGAGTAAGTTTGGAAAATTATGAAGTGTAAATGGAGAAATTCGATGTGTGTAAGTAAAGGAATAGTCGATTAGAATCGTAGCCATAATTACCTCGATAACCGGCAAAACTGATGCTGAATCGTGGGATGACGTGTGTTCGAGGCATTAAATGCGGAGAGACGTGCGTCTAATCAACCGTCAGAAAATTTTCAGAGGAGTCAGATAATTTCCCGCCAAGAAAGGTATCTCTATCAACTCCCCGGTGACACAAAGTTATGCCACTGGAAAGCAAGGGGACTATCTGTATAGGATAAAATATGTTCATATTTAATGATAGCATGAGAAAGCGACACGTGGAGTCGAAGACAGAAGACAGTCGGGTCTGAAGGCAACGACCTCGTTTGTTACCGGAGAGAATGATATTCATAAAGGCGAAGTTAGCATTCAATGAAGAATATTCTATAGTATTATGTGCACGTTCCGTTACAGAAAATATGGCATTCACTATCTATCGTTACACATTCTTCAATGGCCCTGCTAATTGTCATTTAAGAGGGGCTTGATCCGGACCTTGTTCCCTAGGTGCAACTATAAATAGTGAGCTCTACCTTCATTGTAAGGGATATGAATATTCTGATAAGCATACACTATATTCTCTCAAAAGCTCAATAACATTTTTCACTTTCTTGCTTATTTACATTGTTCTTAACCTCCGGAAGCTCTGTTCCCGGGCTCAAGATCTCTACTATCTTATCTCGATTTCAACGCTAAGTTTTATATTTTTTGTCTAATTTAATTATCATTTTAGGATCACATCGATTCACTTATCTATAAACCACATATAAATTCAACTGTACTGTTTTACGGGTAAACAACTTTGGAGTCACATGTTTACATATTTATAAATAACTTCCAATTTATGTAACACTACTAGCAATTAGACTCTATTGATTAACTCCAATAATTTCTTCAACTGGCGATGGGCACGAATTGTAGTTTCATGATCACCAGCCTGATCTCTGCAATATATTGCAGCCGACCTACTCTCTTCTCATCTTAATAAACTAGATGGCCGTGCCCGTGCATAGCACGGGCTATGCCTAATATCGATGTACAAAAGTGGTCCGACATTGAGAAATATTAATATAATATGCTTCATACTATGTACATTCACTTGTGAACAAAGTTGTACAAATACATTCTTGAGCTTGCTTCCATGAGAATGAGAAATACAAAAATAAGACGGATTATTCAAATTCATATTGGTGATCCAACTAATAAAAAAGTTGATGCTACACAGATAAAATTCGGATTTTAACAGTTGACAGCTCATAGTTTATCTTGGAGGTACTGGAAGAAAAGAAAATTGGGCATTAGAATCAGAATATTTCATCCAAGCCAAGCTAACTCAGTAAAAACAGATTTAACATTATCAGCAAATTCACAGCTAGCTTTCAACTACGAATTTTGATGATTAAATATTTGTATAACAATTCCCATATAATCAGATTCGAAGAGAAGTCTTGGTCGAGCAGCAAGCACCAACATTTTAATGAATGGGGAACACCATTTTTACCTTTATACTGTAATTTTGGAAAGGTACTTGCAATATTTAGGTAGGAAAGGAGAGGGAGAACTTATTGGATATGATAACAACTTTTGATGTAGAAAACAAAATGATAATATGTTCTATCACTTAATCTGTGAGAGGAGTAGAATCTTTTCGCCATCCATAATAATGAGATAGCAAAAGCTTGATCAACAGAATTGGGAAAGCTTGATAATCAATTACTACTAATATCAATCAAGTCAAATTCAAGGTTTATTCGATGAGGAAGTATTAGATTGTAATGGTAAAGTAAATTAACATTATTACTTACCAAGATCTAAGAGCTAAATGGAGGTAAGTGTAATTGACATTCTCTTTTTTGCGTCCCAGACCCCACCTTGTGGGACTATACTGGGTAGTTGTTGTTGTTGTTTTTTGCGTTCTACACTTTAACTTGACATATCATGACCCACATAGTAAATTTCTTCCTAATAGTTCCTAGGCCAAAAATAATAAAATCCTTGATTAGCATGCCATACTGCAAGTTTTAATTATGTGGTGCAGGTGAACTATGGAATATGAATGTCATAGAGTGCAATATCTTTATTAGTTAGCAGCAAAAAGTTAAAAAGAGTTTTCCAGTCTCGGTTATTTGTCTTGCAGCCTTACGTGTTATGCACTTAAATAATGATGGGAAGCGCCAAAAATGCAATGCCAACTCTGAGTAGCAGTCAGTGCTGATATCTGTATCCCGCCTATCAAAAAGACAATAAACTGCTAAAATCACCAACGAATATTAAGAATAAAGAATACGAAAGGAAACATATACTTCTCAAACAACTAAATTAGGTTGGTCAGCTCTTCCACATGACCTCCAATATCAAAGATCATCAACCACTATAGTAATTACACCATTCTAGGCCCATGACATGCCAACATTAGATACTTTAAAATTAAAAATGTGGCTGCAACAGAATAGTAGCAGTGTGCAAAGATTCTCTGGTAAATTCCAGTTTTTCCAATTTGTTCAGTAAAACTATAGCATGAACAAAGCTCTTCCCCTTTTATTATCATACATTTTTCACAAGACCAATATGATGGCAAATAATAAAGAAAATCGAACCACAAACCTATCACACAAAGGTTGCATGAGATAAAATCAACTTTCATTTTAGTCATGTACAAAAATTATTGAAAGCAAAGAAGTCAAACAAAGCTAAGAAATAACATTTGAAGCAGTAATATGTGGCATAAGTTTTCCTCCGTATGGTTTAATAAATATATCACCTCTGATCTAACATTAGAAAGCATCTTTCTGAGCAACTTGTTTCAGCTAGATGTTTAAGGTTCAAAAAAATACAAGCATCTCAAGTTATTTTAATTTATTGTACCGAAGTCCTCTAACGCCAGGGTTAAGATATCTTTGCTTCAAAATTCGAGGAATTGTCCCAAATAGGAATACAAAGAGTAATTTGAGAAAAAGGGAGCACACAATAGCCAAAAAAGGTCCAAAAACTGTAATTAAGAAAATTGACAGAAGTTACATATATGAAGTTTCTACTTTCTAGGACTCTTGTATCATCTACATCATAGCGTTCTTTAATTCTCCTATGAGTAAGTTCGTAAAGAAGAAAACTTAAGACATGATTCACCTAAAAATAAGTAGCAATAGCTGTTGGCCCTGACTCAAAGAGACAATAACAATAATCTGAGCGGATAACAATGCAACATATGGCAAAATACATATTTATGAATCTATCTGGTGAGGCTATTTGTAGGGTAAAATTACTTGACAGTCCTACAAAATGTAAGGATAATAAGTTCTATCTGTTTGAAACAGGTTGATATGTATCAATAATCATTTCTAACACTTGATAAAAATCCAACATAGTATATATATCATTCAGATGTTCACTATATTGACCTGCTCCGAAGCCGAGCTACGAATCTATAATACACACCTAATTCACCAAAAATATTTGAATAATAAATAATATTCTAAGAAAACAAACTGATGTGATTACAAGAGTTCTGCGAGGTACCAACGAAGTTATTGTATTATATCTGCGCAATATCCTAAATGCCAAGATACAAATGAAAGTATTACTGAAGATTTCCTCTTTTCCCGGCTGGCAACATATTTTTTTCGCCTAATGTAAAAACCTACAAATGTAAGGGCATGGAGAGAATCAATCTACTAGGACTAATTTTGTTCTACAAGCATAAGGGCGAAAACACACAGCACGGTAAACTCACAACTTAATCTTTCTTCCCAACTTGAGCAACTTCCATTTTCAAATGAAATTTCTGCTACATTTATTCATTCCCTAAAGTAAATCTTAGGTATTCCCCAAACATCTATTTTTTTTACTTATTTCTCCAATATTATACTCTCTGACGTACTTAAATTTCAAGAAAAAGGGATAAAGAATATTAGTTTAACAATTTAAAGATGGATAAAAAAAAGAGGGAAAACTTAATAAGGGAGACATACGCTACAATGACGCCTAAATTTGCTGAATACCCACAAAATCAAACAAAAGAACAAGCAACAAAATGGTATCCGAGACCCAACAACAAAAATCAGTGACAGGGTCACAAATAAAGAAAACCAAAAATTAAAAAGTAAAAAGATTCATACTTTAGAAACATTAATACCACCAAGCTAACACATGCAGCGCAGACTTGCTGAAAATCAGAGAAAATCATATCTGAAAATTATATTTTGAAGCAATTTTGAAACATATGCACAAAATACGATGTAAATTCATTATGTACCAAATTATATATTGTCCATTTTTTTACTTCTTAGTAATGAAGAAACAAAAAAGTTACAAGAAAATTCCAAAAGAGACATAAAGGAAGAGGGACTAAGGAGAGAATCAGAAGATTGGAAAAAAAGTTGAGCAAACTCACCTGTGGATAGAGAGAAGAGGAAGAACAACGTGGAAAGAGCAATTAGAAAAACCGAAAAGTCACAAAAAAAAAATGTACAAAGAATACCAAAAGCAGTGACAAGCATATATAAAAAATAGAAATAAACCACAAAATTAAAAAAAAAAAGTTGAGCAAAAAAAAAACCAGAAGGAGAAAGCCAGCAGCAACAACTCACCTAAAAGAAAGAAGAACAAAAGGATGGGCAGATTGGAAAAGCTGAGAAATAGCTCGTAGATTGCGAAGAAGAAGCCTAAATGAAAGGACAAAAACTAAGGCCACGTGTTGTTTCCAATGGGACACGTACTGATTTGGAGGTCTACAAGTAGACTTTAATTTAAGAATCGAATAGTGGGGAACATTTAAAAATGGACTGAGGCAAATTCCTGAAATACCCTTCGTCGTCCTTCAATCTTTCACTTATTGTATATTGTTAAATTAAAAATACGGCAATACCTCTTTCATCCATCCTTTTCACGCCTGACTTTGTAGTGCTCGCCATTAATTAATAGAGTAAAAACGAGCGAAAGATAGCTGCAGGATCTTTCCTCTACACAAAACATTCTGCTACAAGAAAGACATTTTTTGTGCAGGATTTTTTTTGTCCTGTTTGGTTTTTTTTTTTTTGGGTCTAGCTAGATATAAGAAGCACTAGTGTTAAGCTGGGACATCAAGAGTTATTAGTGACCTTTTGGCTAAGCCTATTGGAAGTTGTTTTTTGAATTTGTACATAGGGGTGGCAAATGGGCGGGTTGGGCTGAATTTGGGTGGGTCAAGATGGGTTAGGCCAATAAATGGGTCATTGCCCAATCAGCCCAAAGTGTACTTGGGCTAAGATAGGCTGGGTCAAGATGAGCTAAACAATGGGTCATAATCCAACCACCCGCCCAACTTGAGCCATGTTTTAGAACCATGCTCATCTTGCATAAAAAACCTTTTACCTTAAAATGTGTAAGTTGAAAAAAAATTTGGAGGAAGGGGTAGGGGTGGGGTGGGTTAGGTGGGTGGGGGGGGGGAGGGGGGGGGGGGGTTGGGCGGTAGGTGATGCAGAAAAATAAAAAATAGAAAACAGAAATTAAAAACTAAAAAAATTAAAAAAATTTTTTTGAGGGGTTTGTGGCTGGGGGGGGGGGGGGGGGGGGGGGGGGGGGGGGGGGGGGGGGGGGGGGGGGGGGGGGGGGGGGGGGGGGGGGGGAGGGTGGGGGGGGGGGGGGGGGGGAGGGGGGGGACGGGGGGCGGGGGGGGGGGGGGGGGGGGGGGGGGGGAGGGGGGGGGGGGGGGGGGGGGGAGGGGGTTGGGTGGGGTGGGGTGCTGGGGGTGAGGGTGGTTCAGGAAAAAAAAAAATAGAAAATTAAAAATATAAAAAAAAAAGTAAAAATCTTTTTAGGGGGGGGGGTTGGGCAGGGTGGGATGGGTGAGTGGTGCAGGAAAAAAAAACAGAAAATTAAAAATACAAAAAAAAAAAAGTAAAAAGAAAAACTTTTTAAGGGAGGGGGGGTTTTGCAAGGGTGGGTGGGAGGGGTGGATGGTGCAGGAAAAAAAATAAAAAATTGAAAATACAAAAAAAAAAAAAAACGAAAACTTTTTTTAGAAGGGCGGGGGTTTTGCGGGGGAGGGGAGGGGGAGGGGGCAGGGGTGGATGATCCAGAAAAACAAAAGAACATAAAATTGAAAATACAAAAAAAAGTAAAATTGGGGCAACTAAATAAATTTCTATATAAGTTGGTTTGAGATACCTTTTTGTTTTGGGTGGGTTTCATGGGTTGTATTTGGGCTGCTTAATGGATCAGAATGGGCTATAAAATATAATGGGTTAATTTGGGCTCAACCCAAATTGACCCATAGACTAAAATATTTGTAACCCAACCCATTAATCTCTGGGCAGGTTGAGCGAATTAGATGGATTTGGGCTCAAATTGTCACCCCTATTCGTACCTAAGCTCTAATTAATCCACTTGCAGACCTTAATCTTGAGAATGATCTTGGTCTATATGAACTTGAGTCAATCGTTGTCGAATTGGATCTTTTAGATAATTTGAAATAGAGTTTGGTGATTTCTAGACTTTTTTCCTTAGATTTTCTATCGAGTGATATTTGTTTACCCATAAAACGGTACATTTGTATTTATACGCGGTTTATAGACAAGTGAATTAATTTGATCCTAAAACAATAAATGAACTAGATAAAAATTGAACACTTAGCCTTGAAATCTAGACAAAATAGCAGAAATAATAGTTTCGGGAGCTGGGCTTCCGGCGCAACAGCAGTGAAATCAAGAAGCAAGAAGATAAAGTAGTACTCCCTTCGTTCCAGTTTATGTGAACCTATTTCCTTTTTGGTCCGTTCCAAAAAGAATGACTCCTTTCTAAATTTGGAAACAATTTAGCTTAAACTTCCAATTTTACCCTTAATGAGAAACTTTTATAACCACAAAAATACTCTAGACCTCTTTTTGACTTATTGGGACCACAAATTCTAAAACTCTTCATTTTTTCTAAACTCCGTGCCCAGTCAAACAGGTTCACATAAATTGGAACGGAGGGAGTATTAAACTTTGAACAGAGTGCAGCGTATGTTTGCTAGAAAATTCGTGTCCTTACAATGATAATAGAGCTCACTATTTATAGCTGTACTTAGGGAACAATGTCTTAGGATCAAACCCCTCTTTAATGTCAATTATGAGGGCCATGAAGAATGTTAACAGCGGGCATGAATGCCATATTATTTTGTAACGGACAGTGTACTAAATCTACGGAATATTCTTCATTAAATGCTATCGGGTGGCAGACATTTATTTCACCTTTATGAATATCACTATCTCTGGTAACAAACGAAATGGTTACCTTCGGGTTCCGTCATCCTCTATTTTTGTATTACTTTCTCATACGATCATTTAATATAATATATTTTATCCCATACAGTATCATATGGTAATTTTCTAGAGAAGTAGGAATTTGGCAAGCTATGCTAGGGATGAGCTGGTCAGAATCAGTTTGAGCTGGCTTGACATCCTTTTTTTTTACAACTTTATTCTTGTCCTTTCTTACGGAAAAAGAAGAAAAAAAGTCGAGAGAACATATTTTTGTTAGGTTAAATGAACTCCTAATTTGAAACCTCAAGTTGGTGGACCTTTAGGACTCATTTCAATCTTTTTTCTTTCCTCAAATTAAATAGTAATAATAATTTCAACATAATAAAATTAATTAGGTGACCTAGCACACTAAAATAAATATTAGATGACGACTCCAAAATAATTATATATGTCAGAGTTAATAAATTGTGGCAAAATTTTAACCCCTCCCCAAACATATTTCGAAAAAGAAAGAGGTACGAAGAAACCAACATACAAGTATTTATAACTCTTTTATAAAGTCTTATTGGAGTATTATATTTATCACATCAACATACCTTTTGAACTGTAAGATAACTAAGATCATTTGTATTGTAGTACAGCTGCAAACTTTGTTGAAAGCTCCAATGTCTCTCCTCCAACAGCTTGAGACAAACTTTTGACCATTACTCTTTGTATCAATCTTCCTTACACTTGCTCTGAGACAAACTTTTGACCATTACTCTTTGTATCAATCTTCCTTACACTTGCTCTGAGGTTTCTCTTTAACAAGAAAAGAGATATCAAACTCCCCCCTAGCCCTCCCAAATTATCCATCATTGGCAACCTTCATCAACTAGGTAATGCTCCTCACAAATCCCTTCACTGTCTTGCAAAGAAGTTAGGCCCCAAAATTAGTGACAACTTTGTAAAGTCGGAAACAACCTGACTTGCACTTCTCATTTTACCTAAATGACAAGCTTTTATAGCTATACAAATCTTATGACATGTTTAAGAACACACGTTTCAAAAGTATAATATATAATCACTCAAATGTTATGATATATTTAGGAGTACAACTATCAAAAGTCTTTATAGTCAAACTATATCATTATAAATTGAAATGGAGGGAGCAAGAAAAGTCTTAGTATTACTTTCATAGTTCATTGTTTAGTGTCTTTAAGTTCATAACTGTGCAAGGCAAAAACCTCAGTTGTAACTTTTGTTACTGTAATTGCAGAACATGTTTGCTGCAGGAACGGATTCAACATTCATTACGTTGGATTGGGCAATGACAGAGCTACTGATGAACCCAAAAACAATGGAAAGAGGACAAGCAGAGGTGAGAAATGTTGTGGGAAACAGAAGCTTCGTATCAGAAAGCGATCTGCCTCAGTTGGATTACATAAAATCTGTCATAAAAGAAGTCTTTCGGTTGCATCCTCAGGTCCATTATTAATTCCAAGTGAGTCCACTGAAGAAATCACCGTAGAGGGCCGGGTATACTATTCCTCCCAAGACAAGGTTTTTCATCAACGTGTGGGCGATAGGGAGGGATCCAGATACTTGGAAAATCCTGATGTATTTTGATAGGCTATAATTACGTATTTTAGTCGATTATTACATTCTAATTTACTGCACTTAAATTGAGTTTGAGCTTTAATCGCTAGTATTTTGCACTAATGGTGTGTTTTATGCCTTGTAGGAGTGATTCCGAGCTATGTACATGTTATGGAGTGAATTCAAGTGAGTTGAAGCTTTAAACTTTGAGTAAAAGTTCCAGGAATCAAGCCGGGATCGTGTTTGGGGGTCAACGGATGATAGTTAGAGCAAACGAGGACTACAGTAGGCATATTGCGCACTGTCTAGTAAAACAGATATAACTTTTTGCTCGGAACTCCATTTTGGCTACACAATATATGGTTAGAAAACTAACTCAAAGGGGCTACAACCTTCATGTTTTACGTTTTTCCAAATTCGGAACGGAACAGGGTGAAAAATGCGCGAACTCATGCGCGAACTCCTGCACGAGCTCATGCGCGAAGTCGAGCGTGTTAGGGAGCTGAGGCAGAATGATGCGCGAAGTTATGCGCGAAGTCACGCGCGAGCTCGCGCTAGTCACCCGGGAAAAGTGTCCTTTTTCACATTGGAGAAGGTATAATTGTTTGGGCCCAACCCTACTTGGTATATATACATGAGAGAACGTTTTTTAGAGTAATTTTTGACCAAGGAAGAGCACAGAGCCGCCGTGGAGGCCGGGTTTCATCTTTTCTTCCACCAACTTAGTAATTTTTATGTTTCTTTGTATGATTTGTTGTTTTGCTACCATGTCTATGTGG